TATTAATGAGTTTTTTGGGTTCATTGAGAACATGGTTGTTGTTCAATAATAAAATTATTCCTCAAAAATACAACTTGCCTAATAATTCTGCACTCCCTGTAAAATTGAATTGAATTGAATTGAATTGAACTTTCTTGCTTCCTGATCTAAAGGTTCTCTTCTTTTCCTTGAGGATAGCCTTAATTTCAGGGTTAATCAGGGGCGTGTCAATATCCTCCCCATGTGGGCTGCATAGCACCTCCCAGTCTGTAGTTTGAAAGCAGTCTTTCAGTGCCATGCTTGCCTCTTCAAACCACACTCTCAAATACCTTGTGGTGGGGGGTTGTTTGCACACAAAAGGTATGTAAGAGGGAAACAGATGGACCAGGTCTGAGTGACCCAGTGAGGGGAGGGGTGATGATGTATATGTATCCTTAGTATTTGCATACATTAAGCCCAGTGTTTTGTTTTCCCTAGTAAAAAAAAATCCACATACTGGGTGAAAGTAGGGAGACTTGGGGACAAGAAAACATGATTTAAATCTCCAGAGATAAAAAGGGAGGCTTGGGGGTGTGGTGTCGGCAGCAGGGACATTACTGTGTGAATTGTCTCACATGCTGCTGCAGTATCCACTGCTAGCTGGATGTACACGGGTATCACGATGACTTGCAAAAGCTTCCACGGCAAGTAGTATGGTCGGATGCTAACCACTAATAGCTCCACATCTCAACTACAGCACTGCTCCTTGACACTGATGTGCCCCGATTTACACCATCTCTTGTTCACATACATCACAATCCCTCCACCTTTGCCCTTGCCGGTCTCCTTTGCGTCCTGTTCTGCTCTCACCAGGTGAAATCCCGGAACAGTCACATAAGAGTCTGGAGTGAGGTGTGTTAGCCGCGACTCTGTGTAGCACATCATGTTAACCACCCGGTACTCCCTCTGGAGTCTGGTCAGTGTCACCAAATCCTCGATCTTACTGGGGAGGGCAGTAAGACATTTCCCATAATGATCGAGGGTACATCTGGTTTGTACCATCTCTTCCGCTCTCAACACTTAGCTCCAGTTTTAAAGCCCCATCTCCTCCACCGCAACTCCCTTGGGATCTCTGATCGTTCTCTGGGATGAATTAAATGGTTGCTAAGCGCTAACAGATGATCCCTGGTGTAAACAATGGAGCCGGTGCTTGATGACTCTCCGCATACTGGATTAAACGGTCCATATATGATCACAAAAACACAGAAATAACTTTACAAGTTGCTTCTGGCTAGCATTCTTATGACAGGTTACATGAAAAGTTAAAAATGCAAGGAAAAGAGATTAAATAATTTTAAAAGAATTGAAGTTGGTCAGAGTTCCAGTGTTTACTGTTGGTAAACATGAACACTGCTTGTTCTGGTGTGCATGTGACTCAGAAGTTGCAATGAAAAGGCGATATAGAGCACAAGAACACAAAAACAGAAACATTTAGTCCGGAGTGGTGGCTGCGTACTTGTACTATTCTACAGCTCTGGTACTTTCCATGCCCATGTTGAACATATATCATGATGCTGATTTTTTCAAGATGGTGCCAAAGGAGAGGCTGCAAGTTACAGCTAAATTACAAATATCATACAAAAACTGATCAGGAACGGCTGGAAGCACTATGCATCCTCGGGTTGCTATGGAAACCAGGCTTCCAGTCCTCAGCATTGCCTGAAGACGGTGGCCGAGGGATGGGTTGCTGAAAGCAGTCTGCAAGGAAACGGAAGTGCCACAAATGTGCTAGGGTGTGTGCTAGCCTAAGAACACATTCAAGCCGGCTGGTTCTTCCATCCATCTTGCTCTCAAATGTTTGCTCATTGAACAATAAACTGGACTAAATCTGACTCTGTGGACCACACAGCTGTGTGTGTGTGTGTGTGCAGTAAGACTCATGGTGGTGGCTTGTGTCTAAAACAACTTGGAATGGGACAACATCCTTGTCCTAGTTTCTAATTACTGTTCATCACTGGTAGACTTTATGACTGTTAGATGCAGACCTTTTTATCTACCTCAGGAATACACTGCTGTGCTCATTAAAGCAGTGTACATCCCCCCCAACTCCAAAGACGTGCTTTCACACCTTAATGCACTGCTTATCATCGACAGAGATTTCAAGCATGCAAATCTCAAGTCAGGGCTTCCAACAATCCCATATGCAAAGAGCATATGTTCCCAACATTAACATATGCTTTTTGCAATGAGGGGGGTAAATGTGCGGGATCTTGTTTACACAAATATTCCCAGCACATACAGAGCGAAGCCCCAACCCCACCTTGGACACTTAAACCACTTGTCTGTTGTGCTAATTCTGGCATACAGATGGTTCGTCAGATGCTGCAAACTGGTTCTGAGATGAGTGAGAACTTGGCCTGCAAGAGCTCTCTCTACTCTTCATGACAGAATGAAAAGCAGTGCACATTTCAGTGCTTTATTTCGGTGCTTTTTTTTTCCTGAGATGTCATACACTTTGGATTCCAGCCAATCATTTCACTTTTGCAAGTAGTAGGCGGGCCCAGGTACGTACGTTCTTTTAGAGCAGAGCTACAGATTAAAAATGCCCAAGGCGAAGCGGTCAAAGTCTGGCTGTACTTCACAGCAAAAGATGCAAACTCAGCAACCTGCAACAAGTGCTTTAACGTGATACTGTGCAAAGGAGGTAACACCTCGAATCTGATGAAATACCTGGCGTATAGCATTTTTTTTAATAGCCAAGAAATGCGCCGTATTTGATAGCTTGCTGTGAGACCTCACACCGTGCACATCTACTGCGGGTGGGTTGCCTGTTATCAGACCCGGAGTTAGCAACATCCCCCAAAAACACGAAGAGGAGAGTCCTGGCCCCTAGCCCTGCCAGTGTAGCAGAAATGATAACGGTTATGAGGCAGCAGCAGCCGTTCTTCTCTGCGTGAGTAGCTTAATGTTGTTCGTGTGTAATTTACGTTGAGTAGGCTAACCACGTTATTAAATTAATGCATATAAGGTGAACTAGCAAACACAGTCGTAGTTACATGTGGCTGTCTTCTTGTTTGATGACAGATACTCCCTTCACCCTTGCCAAAAAGGCTAAAATGACCAAAGAAAAAGTGGAAAACAGCTAAACATGAGAGGTTTTTGGACAAAGTTTGTTTTTTCCATTGTTTAAGCACTGCTTCCAGCCAAGAGTGATGCCATATATGCCCCATAGCTGCAGAAAAGTCTAACATTGTTATCTTTTTACAAAAAAACTGCTTAACATGAGAGGTTTTTGGACCAATTTTGTGTTCTCCATTCTTTAAGCACCGGTTCGAGCACCGTTTAAGCACCGGCACCATTTCAAAAGTACCGGTTTGGTATTGGTATCGGATAAAACTTAAACGATACCCATCCCTACTCCTGTAGACCTTTGACTCTGTGGTGGGCTCAGCCATCTTCCATTATGTTGTCTGTTGGAACAGTGCAGGTGGTAGGAGACAGAAGAACTCTTGGACAATGTCTCCCACCCAGTGCATGAAGCTGTTGCTGAATTGGAGGGCTCCTTCAGAGACAGACTGCAACATCCACAGTACACAAATGACTGTTATAGCAGGTCTTTCTGGCCAGCAGCTGTGAGACTTTATAACTATCGATGCTCCGAACAAACTCAATAAGTTTTTTATATCCCTGCTGTTAGTTGCAGTTTTTCAGTTTTCTGTAAGCACAAATATAGAGCATTTTTGTCCATACTTTTTAAAAACGTATCCTGCTTAGCTGCACATTTCTGTGAATCTAAGTATGCTATTTTAAATAACTCAATTTTTCCCCTTATGTGATTAATTTCCCCTGTACAGTTTTCTATTTCATCTTTTTTTTTCTTCCCATTTGGATCTTTAGCCATCAGAATTGTTGTCTTAAGGCCAAGAGAGATGCCAAGCGGATTTACTTTACCAAGTGGATCATCATGGCCTTGCCATATTGGTCCATTTGATTGACCTTTATTATAATTATGTATTTATTTTATTTTATTTTCGGTTGTTACAGACGGGACAGACATGACTGGGGGATAAGACAGGGAGAAATAATGAAAGAAAGAGAGGGAGAGAAAGAAAAATAGAGGGGAGAAGAGACGATGATTTCATCTTTTTTTAAATTTATTTATATTCTTTACTTTTGTGTGAATCTGCATGCTCCATTTGCCTGTAACTCTGTTGCTGGAATACATGAATTTTCCCAGTGGCTAATGAAGTTATTTTTTCTTAATTTTGATTTAGTTGGAGTACTCTGTCAGACACCATCTATAAGGCTTTTGTCTCAATGTTGATGTCCAACCCCTCTGTTGTGAGAGGCATGAGCCTGGGATTCAACAACCTGCAGTATTCAGGCGTGGAGGAGCTATCTTCTTTTCTGGAGAGTCCAGAGTGTAGACTGGAGACTCTGAGGTCAGACACCATGTCTTAATTGTGCTAAGACAATAATTATGTGTGTTGTAAACTTGCATTCTTTCTAAGGATTACGAGGGACTAGACTAGACCCAAAAGCAGGACTTCAAAGTAGGTTGAATCTTTTATTGACACTACTTTCAGAGTCTGAAATTACAAAATTGATTGGTGAAAGCACACACACACACACACACACACACACACACACACACACACACACACACACACACACAAAGCTTCTTAAAAAGGCTGCTATCCTAAACTAGATTAGTAAACCTTAAATAAAAATTATTTCCTTCATCCCTGCAGTCTATCCTTCAAGCTCGGGTCATCTACCAGAGACCTGGGAGCTTGAGGGTCCTGCGCAGTATCTTAGCTGTTCCTAGGACTGCACGCTTCTGACAGAGATCTCTGTTGTTGTTTCTGGGATCTGCTTGGACCACTTGCCTAGCTTGGGAGTCACTGCACCTAGTGCTCTGATTACCACCACCTAGTGCGCTGTTACCTTCACCCTCCACATCTTCTCAAGTTCTTCTCTGAGCCCTTGGTAGTTCGACACCTCATCTTTCTTCTTCTTAATGTTGCTGTGACTTTTTTTTTTTAGCTACATCTGTTATAGCTACCGCCTTCTTCTGCTTATCCACCACTACTATGTCCAAATGGTTTGCCATGACCAGTTTTTCCATTAATATCCTTCTCCTTCTTCAGCTTGATTGCTCCCTTAGCCTCTGTTGCCAATCATCTGGTTCGGGGATTACCACAAAGACAGGCACAAAGTCAGCTTGTGGCCAATTGTGGCCGGGGTCTATAGAAATCTGGCCAAATATATTAAACCCCCAAAATGTGTCTATCCAGAGTTGGGACCAGGAAGCAGTTTCTTGGAGGAATGCTGTTTCATTTCACTGTGTACTGTACCACTGTACATGGTTGAAATGACAATAACAAAAGAGCAAAAAAAGGAGCGTTTCTCCATTTGTTATCACTCCAAAACCCAATCTCCGTAGAGACGGTTTCAGACAAACAGACAAACAAAAAAAGAACTAAAAACCAGCAACAAACACCTTAAACATACAAAATCACAAAGAAAGAACAATACAGCATCCACATCTGAACCAATGAGTAAAATTGTGAAATGTGGATTATTAAATATTAGGTCTCTCTCTTCCAAGTCTCTGTTAGTACATGAGTTAATAATTGATCAATAAATCAATTTACTCTGTCTTACAGAAACCTGGTTGCAGCAGGACAATTATGGTAGTATGAATCAACACCCCCAACTTATTGAAAACTGAACATTTTCTCATAAAATTTAAATTTATAATAATTGATTACACAGCAGCACGGTGGCACAGTGGTTAGCATTGTTGCCGCAGAGCAAGAAGGTTCTGATTTCAATTCCACCATCAGGTTGGGGTCTTTCCGTGTAGAGTTTGCATGTTCTCCTCGTGTTTGCGTATCTACAGGGAGTGCAGAATTATTAGGCAAATGAGTATTTTGTCCACATCATCCTCTTCATGCATGTTGTCTTACTCCAAGCTGTATAGGCTCGAAAGCCTA